TTTCCCAATGTGATACATTGGACAAAGCCAAAACTTAATAAAATCACTCAAATTTTGATGAAGTGAGGTGTACCAAGTATCATCTAATCACACCTCCTTCGTTCATATAAACCAGATTAATATGCCAAAGCCTGGTTTACCCCTCATCTCAAGTTTCAGTCCGTTCGGGAATTGAACCACGGACCTGGACTGGCACACTATGTTGTTTTACTTCTGGCATTATCTGAGCATTCCCCCCCTTCATCTTCTATATAGAAAACTTAACTTCTTCGGAGGTTTAAAACCGGTCATTTCTTTTGTCTTCAAATTTCCATCTATTTCTGTTTTCATAATGTTTGAACTCGTGAGCCGTCCATCCTTTCTCCATTGCAGTCTGCATTTTACAAAATAATTTTCTGACAATTGTTCCCTCATTTCTTCTGGAAATGGTCCCTTCCTGAGGCGCCCACAGGTTTTCTGAGAAATTTCTTATGTTGAACTTCTTGTAATTTATCGCACTCGTTTCTTAATTCCCAGGTTTTAGGTCCGAACGCGTTGGTGTAGCTATTATTCTGTTTTTTTTTACTGAACTTTAGAATTGTTTAAATGTAGGTAACAAACCCTTCGAAAGTATGTCACATTTCAGGTACTTGGGAAAGGCAGTAACAGATTAAAATTGCATTCACGAATACATTAAGAAGAGATTTGATTCAGAGAATGGTTGCTACCATCAGTTCAGAATATTTTGTCTTCCCGTGTCCTGTGTAAAGACGTAAAGACTGTAATGTACAGAAGTATAATTTTATCTGTTTTATATTGGAAGAACGCAGACTGGTGTTTGATAACTATTTCCTCAGTAGAATATTTGAACCTAAGGTGAAGAAGTATGAGGATTCGTACAGCTTCGTACATTGTACTCATGTACAGATGTTATTCATAAATTAGGGAGTACCAAAGATGAGGGGTAGTAGTATAATTTAAAGGAAAGCAGGGAAGACCTAGAAGTAGATGCACCAAGATTAAAATGAACATTGGGGAAATAAGTAACCAGGTTATGAAATGAATTAATCTAAATTCTTATTCTTGTCTCTATTGATTTCAATACGTTAAATGGGCACTTAACCCCTCCTTCAACCCACCATTCCGTCTTGTTGTATTTATTAGTTATTTAAAGCAAAACTAACTATACCTTCCATCTGCTTCAACATTTGCTTAAAAAGTATTTATGAGTTTCGGTCGATTATCAGAATAAAATGCGATTATTTCCCTAAACCGCATTAACCACTTCATCTTTGCAATGGAGACGCGATGTGTGTGAGTGGAGGTAGGAATTCAATTCTTCAGTATTACGAGCTTCGACTTCAAACGGTTAACTTAAATACAGACCTTGACCTTCAGAAATGTCGTGATGTGTGTTGTTTTGTTGTGTCTTATGTTTTGTTCTGTCTGTTTTGTTGTGTCTCATTGTTTTTTTGTCTTATGTTTTGTTGTGTCTCATTGTTTTTGTTGTGTCTTATGTTTTTTGTCTTATTGTTTTGTTCTGTATTATTGTAGCATCACTGCCACAGGGTAAAAACCCATTTGCAGTTAATAATAAATAATAATAAAAAATAATAATACGACCACTACCGGAAACGGGTGTTCTGCGATGGGGTGATATTATGTCTCCCTGAAACTGGGCCTTTTAACAGGGTCTTTGGAAACGACGGTAAAAAGTGAAGATTCAAATTTTTTCCCGTTGTTTTGAACGGGTTTCAAGTTTCTGCTGTCCAGTTGAAGAAATAGCATACTTTGACGGTGTTTGAGGACTGGGTCCTAAACAGAATAAATGCGCCTAAGAGGAAATGAGTAAATTAACTGAAGAAAATTACACACTGTGGAGCTTCATACTTTTTACTGCTCAAATCAATGTGGATGAGATGCGCGGGCTAAAACAGGTGTGGAGCATGAGAAATGCGTAACAAATTGTAGTTCTACGACTTAAAGGGAAGACAGCACTTGTAATGTGTAGGCGTCCGTCGTATGATAACGCGGTGGATGTTAGATCTTATAACTATGGAGTTAGAGGTTGTGGACTGGATTCAACTGACTCATGATTAGGTCCAATGGGAGTTCTTGTCAACGATGTAATCGGGTTACAAGCGTGGGATTTCTTGGTTATCTCAGCAACTCAGGTTCACAATAAGGACCTCACTCCATGAGGTTAGTTGACGAGAACAATTTGGATTAAGTCTCGCTTGCAGATGATGCTGTACCTTAAGGAAGTTGGTGATATTGCTCACCTTATTCAGTCTTCCGCTCGTTAAATCAAACTCAAACGAGTATAGGCAACTTGCTTTTGGTTTAATGGGGCCCATTTCTATGCGACGTGCAGACGGTGCGAGCTTCACTGTGGAGGAACACATCAGTATGATCCTGGAGGAGATCTATTCAAGATGTTGCACCTGCACAAGACGGCTGACGTTTCGGAGGAACTGACTGCATTTTTGCAGCGTTCAGATCATGAAGTGTTCGAGGGTTTTTGTCTGAATGTGGCCTATTTAATTCGGCCGTGAAGAAGGAGGCATAAACTACCTCCGAAACGTCTATAAATGTTATCGTCTCAAGTGATGAAAAGGTATTTTAGTCCAACAAGCTTACACGCTTCTAGAAAGACAACCAAAATAACTTCGTATACTGGATAAGTTCTTTGTGGACCTCAAGAAATAACCCGTTGTATCCGATGGTCCACACGTTGACAAGGAAAACTTGTTAACGGACCTTGTCATCGACCAACTACGTACATTCAGATCAAGATTTAATTTTTGTTTCGTAGGATTCAGTAGGAAATGACACCAATTTGTGATATTGTAGAGGGTATTATCAGCTGACGCGCCCTCAGAGCAGTAGTTTCTGTCTCCCCTCAGGCTAGTAGCCAGTGGTCAGAATGTGACAGCCAACCCTTGCACACACATCGTGTAAGCTGTGGACTTCTGTCATATTGGCTGCTGATGGAAAGAGCTGGAAATGTCTCAGGTGACGACACTGGAGAACTCTGTTGGACAACTGCCAATATTATAAAATGCCGGCTACTTCGACGTGTACAGTTCAGTCTCGTAAGCGAAAGCAATAGTCCCAATTACGGATTACGTGTGTTGTTTACAATTTCCTGCACGCGTAACGCATGCAGAAATGGTCTTGACTAGGTATCTTGCGCATGTGCAAGACTATCTTTTTTTGGCTGGTTGGTCGCATTCTGCTCGGTGTGTAATTTGGTCTAGTGACCCGAATTATAGGGAATGTCATTTTTCAGATGGCAATGAGGAAATCAAAATGTATCTATCGAAAATGGTAAACCAGAATTTACCTACACAGCGCAACAACCCAGAAGACAGAAATCTTCATACTCATCGCCCTGATGACGGAGGCAGTATGACCTCCGAAACGTTGGTTAACATCGACCACACTACACAGCGCAACAGCCCAGAAGACAGAAATCTTCATACTCATCGCCCTGATGACGGAGGCAGTATGACCTCCGAAACGTTGGTTAACATCGACCACACTACACAGCGCAACAGCCCAGAAGACAGAAATCTTCATACTCATCGCCCTGATGACGGAGGCAGTATGACCTCCGAAACGTTGGTTAACATCGACCACACTACACAGCGCAACAGCCCAGAAGACAGAAATCTTCATACTCATCGCCCTGATGACGGAGGCAGTATGACCTCCGAAACGTTGGTTAACATCGACCAGACTACACAGCGCAACAACCCAGAAGAAGGCAATCTTCATACTCACCGCTGTGAAAACCTCAAATCTTACAACAATATTTTCATTATATACACCATTGGCTTCCAAGGCTATCCACAGACGACGTCGCAAATTTCGCACAGCTGCAAGTGGAGTTTCTTCACTGACGCTGATCGCGACTGCCAAAATTTCTAGTTGAAGTTGTTAAGTTGTGTGAGGATTATTTTTGTCTTCTGCGACATATTCTACAATACTATTGAACTCGATACACCACATAGTTCGGTAAGAAAATTCAACTGAAACTGGAGAGTATTTTCAAAAATTTCCTGTATTTTTCGAAGCTACTGTAAATTAATGACCCCTACTTCGGAAGTTGATGGACGGCTTCCAAGTCGGCATTATTGATTATAGGAAATTATTAATTATGTGTATTTTTAAGGAAAAGAAAGTGGTATGATGTTCACATCATGTTTTATTGCAAAGGTTCCCAAAGTGTGGGGTGCGCCCCCCTGGGGGGAGTAGTTCTCTTGGGGGGCCTGTTGTCTGCATGAAAAACTTTTTTTAACGAAATATGGAGAAACATTTTTAACATCCTTCGCTTCGTTGAGGCAGTTCAGCAGTGGCAGCCATCAAAACAAAGTATCGTTCTACGATGAACCTGGAAAACGACCTTAGAGCGGTCATTTCAAAACTCCACCCTCGGTATGATAAGTTATGTTCACAGAAGCAACCACACCCATCCCACTAATCCAGGTACAAAGCGAGCGTATATTTTATTACAGTTTTTTTAAATTAAATGCATTGAATAATATATACAAAATTATAAAAAATGTGTGCTCATAGCTAAATTTTATGTCAAATCTGTTTGCTTGCACTTGTTCTGGAAGGGGGGCGTGAGATTTATGAAATGTTTTAAGGGGGGCGCAAGGTATAAAAGTTTGGGAACCTCTGTGTTATTGGAATCCAAATTGGAATTCAAAGTTATTTGGTGGAACATCACACGGACGTAATGTCTTAAACGCATCTTCCATTATGACATAATGAAATTAGGATTAAAAAATCTCGCGCTGTACACCATAACGTGTAGGTGTATAGGGGAAGTGACGGCTAAGCTCCACGTATACCTTGACAGTAGTCCTTGGCTTATCACCATAATTAAAGATCTTGAACTAAAGCTACCCTCTCGTCCTTAAAATTAACTTCCAAAAAATTATCTGTTGTTTAGAGTGACTTTTGTTATGATTATCTAATAGTTGCTGTATGTATATTGTTGTTTGTTGCAGGAACAACCTCGACAGCGGAGGCAGCATGTTCCTTAAGGTTTACTCTATCACCATTCTTCTGCTTGACCTCCTTAGTCTCATTGTCAAGGTGATTTTTGCTATTCTGGAGTCCATCTTCCAGACCTTCACAGGCGGCGCCGAAAAGTCAGTAGTCAACGAAATTGTTCTGGTGAGTGTCCTAAACAACAAATCCTTAAATGTATGATTTGAGGTTTTCACAGCGATGAGTATGAAGATTTCCGTCTTCTGGGTTGTTGCGCCGTGTAGTCTGGTCGATGTTTACCAACGTTTCAGAGGTCATACTGCCTCTATCATCAGGGCGATGAGTATGAAGATTTCCGTCTTCTGGGTTGTTGCGCCGTGTAGTCTGGTCGATGTTTACCAACGTTTCAGAGGTCATACTGCCTCTATCATCAGGGCGATGAGTATGAAGATTTCCGTCTTCTGGGTTGTTGCGCCGTGTAGTCTGGTCGATGTTTACCAACGTTTCAGAGGTCATACTGCCTCTATCATCAGGGCGATGAGTATGAAGATTTCCGTCTTCTGGGTTGTTGCGCCGTGTAGTCTGGTCGATGTTTACCAACGTTTCAGAGGTCATACTGCCTCTATCATCAGGGCGATGAGTATGAAGATTTCCGTCTTCTGGGTTGTTGCGCCGTGTAGTCTGGTCGATGTTTACCAACGTTTCAGAGGTCATACTGCCTCTATCATCAGGGCGATGAGTATGAAGATTTCCGTCTTCTGGGTTGTTGCGCCGTGTAGTCTGGTCGATGTTTACCAACGTTTCAGAGGTCATACTGCCTCTATCATCAGGGCGATGAGTATGAAGATTTCCGTCTTCTGGGTTGTTGCGCCGTGTAGTCTGGTCGATGTTTACCAACGTTTCAGAGGTCATACTGCCTCTATCATCAGGGCGATGAGTATGAAGATTTCCGTCTTCTGGGTTGTTGCGCCGTGTAGTCTGGTCGATGTTTACCAACGTTTCAGAGGTCATACTGCCTCTATCATCAGGGCGATGAGTATGAAGATTTCCGTCTTCTGGGTTGTTGCGCCGTGTAGTCTGGTCGATGTTTACCAACGTTTCAGAGGTCATACTGCCTCTATCATCAGGGCGATGAGTATGAAGATTTCCGTCTTCTGGGTTGTTGCGCCGTGTAGTCTGGTCGATGTTTACCAACGTTTCAGAGGTCATACTGCCTCTATCATCAGGGCGATGAGTATGAAGATTTCCGTCTTCTGGGTTGTTGCGCCGTGTAGTCTGGTCGATGTTTACCAACGTTTCAGAGGTCATACTGCCTCTATCATCAGGGCGATGAGTATGAAGATTTCCGTCTTCTGGGTTGTTGCGCCGTGTAGTCTGGTCGATGTTTACCAACGTTTCAGAGGTCATACTGCCTCTATCATCAGGGCGATGAGTATGAAGATTTCCGTCTTCTGGGTTGTTGCGCCGTGTAGTCTGGTCGATGTTTACCAACGTTTCAGAGGTCATACTGCCTCTATCATCAGGGCGATGAGTATGAAGATTTCCGTCTTCTGGGTTGTTGCGCCGTGTAGTCTGGTCGATGTTTACCAACGTTTCAGAGGTCATACTGCCTCTATCATCAGGGCGATGAGTATGAAGATTTCCGTCTTCTGGGTTGTTGCGCCGTGTAGTCTGGTCGATGTTTACCAACGTTTCAGAGGTCATACTGCCCACAGCGCAAGAACCCAGAAGACAGAAATCTTCAGACTCATCGCCCTGATGACGGAGGCAGTATGACCTCCGAAACGTTGGTTAACATCGACCAGACTACACGGCGCAACAACCCAGAAGACAGAAATCTTAAAATCCTTAAACGATGTTTCTAAGGACAGCACGGACTGAAAGCACAATGTGGAGATTGTCATTAATCTCCGAACCTGCTGAAGGCATTTCGTTGAATCTTGCTATTTCCATCTGCATTGGGAGTTGTGGCACGAATCTACCTCCGTTAAATCGGGTTCAAACCAGCTGCATTTTACGTGAAACTAAGAACGAACAGTATCTTTGTGTCGAAACCGGCGCATGGTGCAAAGAGATATCGCACATCACAACATAAACTGAAGCGGAAAATCTAATTAATAACAAAACTGTTCAAAATTCTTCTCGTCACAAATAAATATGAGTTCCAATTCTGCAGTGTGATACCTATAGTTGAATAACAACGGATTTGTATCGAAAATAAATAAATGGACGTGAATTCCAGTAGAAATTCTCAGAGAAGACATGGATAATAAAGTATGAGGGTTGTTCAGATGAAAACTTCACGGGGCGTTGGTAGCGAATAGGGTCTAATGGCTTAGGTGACGGTGATAAAGTGGCTTTGTTCATGACCCACCAGCAATAGACCATGGGCTGTGCAACAGACCGTGGGTGATAAATCAAAGAGGGGCAGTTTGACAGGGTTAGATGTGGAAAATTCATCGATGCACTCCATTTAGGTACAGCTTTATGAATCCGTTACAGTCCTTTTGTAGAGTGTTAATGAACGATGGCAGAGCTTCCAGAAGTAAATATTTTAAAATACCAAACAATAACACAATGTAATTTAGCATCAAAGAGTCCAAATCTAGTTATAGAAACTGAAGTTCTCATATAAAATCTTAAGATACAAGTTCAAGAGTGGTTTAGATACCTACGGAGTGGCCACAAAGTCCCTATGTACCTTAATCGATCCAAGAATGTTTATTTTTGGTGCAAAAAAAATCCTCATTTTATGAGGAAATTTAGCACCTCATGGCATGACACAGGCAGGAATTTCAGAAGATCATATGATAGTGCCATATTTTTTTCGATACAAGTGTCAATCACACTGTTTATGTGAACATGCTTCACAACTGCGTAAGAGAGGCCTCGAGGCAACAGATATCCTTCAACAAGATGATGCACCAGCACATTATGGTCACCCAGTTAGAGAATAAATATCCTGACGACAAATTCATTGGTCAATGGACTGGACGTGGATGTCCAAACTTAAAAACATGTGACGATTCGCTTTGGGGCAGTGTGAAAGAGAACATTTTTCAACTCCGCGTAGCAACAGTTGAAGACCTAAAATCAGCTGTTATGGACTGCTTTAAAAAGAAGTAACGTAAGTCATTAAGGAGTACCGCAGTTTAATGCTGTAATGCAACTGCATAAATAAACTCTACTAATTTAAATGAGAATTCAATCGCTGAGGTGCGCCCACTCACAATATAGTTAAAATAATACAACAAATATTGACAATTTAAATTTTCCAAGCACGTATAATACCAACAACACATTATAATGCACAGTAAAACGAAAAGGGTTATAAAATACCTTATACTTGTGTTGATAACCACTGATTACAAGTGGGTTCGTCACAGCAACAGATGTACAGGCATACCTCGTTTTATTGCGCTTCGAAGATATTGCGGGTTTTTTTTTTTTTCAAATTGAAGCTTTGTGGCAACCCTGCGTCGAGAAAGTCTATCGGGGCCATTTTTCCAACAGCACGTGCTCACTTCGTGTCTCTGTGTCACATTTTGGTAATTCTCGCAATGTTTCTTTAGACATAATGCTATTGCACACTTAATAGACTACAGTATAGTGTAAACATAACTTTTATACGCACTGGGAAACCAAAAAATTCGTGTGACTCGCTTTATTGCGGTGGTCTGGAACCGAAACCGCAATATCTCCAAGGTATGTCTGTATTTATTAAACACACTATTACATTAATTATGCTTCGTAACTAAACTTGAAGCAACTGAAATAATAAAACTTGATATAATTGTTCTCTAGGCAACACGGAGTTTTCCTCCGTGGCATCCCAACAATTACTCCATTCACACACAGAAGAAGGCAATGGCAAACCACTTCTGGATCATCTGCCAAGAACGTATATGAACAGGTCCCAGTCCGAGAAAAGGATGGAAGGATCCTGTTCATATGGACCTGTCGTCAGACAGAACACTGAATAAATAAAATTGTTCTCTATTGGTTACCCTTCACGCTTTTCAGTTTATTTGTTTCTAAATGACATTTATTGCCATATCCACATCTACACAGGTCTTTCCAAATGGCACTCACCGCTAGTACCATCAAACTAGCCAACCAACCAAAAAGTCAACGCAACGCTTGCTAGATCGCGTCAGCTCGAATTTACAGAATGATGCAGAAGTCTCATAACCATACTGTTTTCGTTAGATAAATTACATTGAAACCATAAAACAAAATACAATGTTTTAATAAGTGTTGGCATCTCCCACCACGTTCAGCGATGTATGAATTCACTCTTCCACGTTTGATTCAACCCGCAAATAGCTCCTGTGTAACTGAAACTATTCACCGGACGAGTTTTGTCTTGTTTCTTTCGCACAGGATGATCGGAAAATGTATCCGTAAACTCAATCCGGCTGGCACGTTCAGTAAGAACGAGATGCCAGATAGTGTTCGACAGTGAACACTCGTTGAACTTGTGAAAAGGACATCTGCTGACGTTACGGTGGTATGACGACAATACGCCTGATTTGTTTACCTAACAATAAAATTATAAATTTAATTAAAAGTATGCTCTTCAACGAGATGAAAAAACAGAAGATATTTTGGAAGTTAGGATCACAAAATTGAATTATTTTGAAATAAATCGAACTTCCTGGCAAAAGAACGATGGTTAATGAATTCCAAGAAATTTGGCTGAAGTATTTTAAAACTTCTAGAAAACAAAATCTGCCACACATTTTACTGTGTATCAAAAGGACAAATGTGATTGATAATAGCGGCGTATAAAATCAAAATTACGAGAAATTTTGCATCGAGGAGACAGGTCGTTATATCAAAACTAGATTTAAGGAACGCATACGAAACAAGTAGACATAATTACCAGAAATCTATATATGGCGAATATTTTAGAATAAAAACATAAATACGGATTCACAAGTGGTACTATAAATTTATTAAAATTTTTCCATAGAGAGTTAAATGTAGATTCCAAGAAAAATTGCGTATTTAAAACGTTACAAAATTAACATTCTTTAAATGAGTATCATACCACATATTCTAATATGCTAATTTAACCACTTGAAAGGGAATCTGGAGCAACAGTAATGTTGGTAGTACTGCCAACTAACACAATTAAATAAAAGAACTTATGAAAATGTAATTACAACCTGGCACGCTTGTATCACATCGGCATGTAGTACGCCATTCATAATGCAAAGAAGCAACGTCCACATAGCAAAATTACAAAGTTTTCACACTGTTCAAGAAAAAATCAAGCTCTTAAATTTTTCTGTCCGAAACCGGAAGTGAAATGTCTACCGAACTTGAAGAAAAACACAAAATAATGTTAATGACTTTTCCGAAACGTGTGACCAACTCCCACAGCAAATCGAAAGTGAAGGTTATACATCGCTTGGACAAACTTATTCACTAATAGACTTGCGTTGATAGGAAAGTTAAACGTGTTACAGGTCCTGGTCTGCATCCGTCCTTCATTCACACAAATGCTTATTTAAACAGTATAGATGTATGTTATTCAACAGACGTTTCAAAATTTCGGTGTTGAGCAAGATCATTTGGAACTGGATACCGAAATATGTAGATTATGATATTCGAAAGAGAATGTGCAGATATTCGTAAAGTATTCACGAGCAAACAGAAATAGCCAACCATTCACATTTTCACTGTACTGTCTATGATGCATTGACGAGGTTAAAATTATGAGTGAAACAAAATATTTCTTTTATCTTCATGCGATTTCTTGTTCACGGGAATTCTGATTTAAAATTCCGTGTTCGAACCTGACAAACAGTCTTATTTGATACAAAGCACAAATTTTATATGCTTTCTTGTTCCTTAAAGTGTACCAGCTGCTGAAACAAAGCATTAATTATTATGTTAGCCCTTGAAAGGCTTTATTCGATATCCAGAAACTAAGAGTTTTTGTGGAGACGAATTAGATCCGTAGTCGAACCTCGGGGATTCTGGACGTCTTCTTGCGAGGTTTTAATGCAGTTTCCTCGCCCGCGTCTGGTCCTGATTTTATCCTAAGACACTCCTTTCTCAAGCTTTAGCAATCTGTGTTTCCCTTGGTGTTAACAAGTTTCACAGCCATACAAGATAGCAGGTAAATCCATAGTTTTGTATATTGTAATCTTCACGTTTCCAGGTATCAGACGCGAAGGCAAACCAGCCTGAACTGCTTGCCAGAAAGCACTCCTCGAATTTGGTGAATGCCGTGTAGACTGAAGAATATTTGGAGAAAAAGTTTGAGTCATAGTGAATTTTTATTTTTTTATTTAGTGTTCTGTCTGACGACAGGTCCATATGAACAGGATCCTTCCATCCTTTTCTCGGACTGGGACCTGTTCATACACGTTCTTGGCAGATGATCCAGAAGTGGTTTGCCATTGCCTTCTTCTGTGTGTGAATGGAGTAATTGTTGGGATGCCACGGAGAAACCGGGGAAGCCCCCGGAGGAAAACTCCGTGATACCTAGACCACGGCCTTGCCCAGCACAAGTTATAAATTCGGGCACCGCCGGGAATCGAACCCGAGACCCCAGGATTACAAGGCCAGCGTTCTAACCTAGACCGCCGTGGCGTCATAGTGAATACCAGAACTTTTTGTTTCCCTCAGCAATGCAATTGTCTATGAATGGCTCCATATACATTGATACATATATGTTGACACAGGTAACGGGAACCGGACATGGTATCGGGAAGGAGCTGGCACACCAGTACGCTTCGCTCGGTGCAATTGTAGTGTGTTGGGACATAAATCAGGAACAGAATGATGAGACAGTCCAGGAGCTAAGGAAGATTGGCTGCAAGGCCTACGGATACAAGTATGTACGGTTTTAATTTATTATTCATAGCCACAGAAAACGTTGCTTGCCGCTGAGACGCCTGAATCAGATCTATGCAGCACCACCTCTTCATTTGAGGTACACTGATATACTTTCGTCTGCCCACATTCTTGGTGCACTAACTAGATGGCTTAGGGAACCTGAAGGTCCATCCATCACCGACCTGTCCTGGGCCAACAAAATTCATTCTCCCCCAACTCCTATCTCCTGTAGATCCCGCCTGAGATTATCCTCCCATCTACGTCTAGGTCTCCCCAGCGGCCTCTTACCCTCAGGCTTACCAACCAATACCTGGTGCACAACTCTTATTCCATCCATGCGCGCTACATGCCCGCCCATCTCATTCTTATCGACTTAATCACCTTCACAATACTGAGGGAAGAGTACAGATTTTTAAGCTCATCATTATGCAGTTTTCTCCATGCCCCATCGTCTTCTCTCTTAGGCCCAAATATCCTCCTCCACACCCTATTCTCAAACACCTGCCATCTGTGTTCCTCCCTCTGAGTGAAAACCATGTTTCGCACCCATACAAAACAACAGGCAGAATTATTGTTTTGTGTGTTTTAATCTTTAGGTTCTTAGAAATCAGACGGGAAGACAAAATATTTTGAACTGAGAAGTAGCAAGCATTTCCAGAATTTACACTCCTCCTAACTTCCTCATGAGTGTCATTTTGATTTGTTATTGTTGTTCCCAATTATTTGAACTTTGTAACACTTTCAAAGGATTTATTAGCCACCCTAAGATAATTCTACTGACGAGATTCTAACATGTACTTAGTTTTTTCTGAATTTACTTCTAGCCTCAGATTTAAGCTTCATTTCCCAACATTTAACATAACCCAACATTTTTTAACAGAAACTATGAACAACCAAACCTAACCTAACGCAACATAATCTAAGATATCCTAACCTAACCTGTCTTAAGCTACACAAACCTAGCCTAACATAACCTACGCCTGTCCTAACCTCACCCACCAAAACTAATCCTAAATCCAATATTCCAAATTGCAAAATTTCAACATTTTCAAAAATTTATCAGCTCTGAGAAACAAAGTTTAAAATTTAACATAATTAAAATTTGTAAAAATTAAAAATCTATCATAGTTTACAAGATTTGAAAATTTTCCTATTCTTCAAATTCAAAACCTTCTAAAAGTCGAAAATTTCGCATGTGCAAACGTTAAAAATGTCAAGATTTTGTGTTTCGGTTTTGCCATTGGGGACTTTATCAGAATCGCACGTCTTTAGTGGCACCATCTCCATACAAAATTTCAAATCAGCTTATCCAGATTGTTTGAGTTTAGGAAACGTAAGGTTAGTGATAAGCATCCGCAGAGGACCATGGATACTAGACTCCCCACTTCAGGCGTACAGTCAGACACGACAGTCCCATGATCTAAGCTAACTTGATCCAGCGAAACCAAATAATTTTAACAAGCACCAACGCTTCGGCTCTTTCTCTGCTTTCATCAGTACGAACCATTATTACCGTGGTAACTATTATAAACAAATTCGAACTTCGATAGTTCCTGCTTTGGCCACCAGAGTGGAACACCTCACGATTTTTCTCAACCATCAATTCATCACCCATGTTAGAATATCTGGGGAGAATTATGTAGGCGTGGACGAAACGTGTGGTGTATCTTTCGCTGAGTGATGACGTAGTCAAAGAGGCTTTTCCACGTGGTTTTCCGGCGGAATTCCCCACGTCCGTTTAGCTGAGAGGGCGAAGCTGATACGATGATCCTTTTAACCTGTGGTTGTGAAGGTGATGTCAAAAGTTGATAATTTGGGTAGAGAACAAGATTTTGGAAAACTTCTGCTTATTTTTTAAAATATTCTGCCAAATTCTGATATCATCACGTCAAAGCACGGTTAGACATGCATTATTCATATGTAAAACCGAGTGATTTCCCCATAACCGGCTGTGACTAAACGTGCTCCGTCACTTTCTGAAGTTCATCCACGCCAATAGAACCTGTTTTCTACGCGTGTTATTTCATTCTGCGGAGGTTCGGTACTGCGAGGATTATTCTTGTAAACGTTACCATTTATATTTCCCCAAGGATAAAAATAGCAAAAACTGAGTTCGGGGGATCTGGGAGGCCACATTCCTCTCTGCTGAATATTCTGGTCTTCAAAGACCTCCCGTATTGCGACCACGGCTGCATTACCAATATGTGCTGTAGAGCAATCTTGCTGAAAATATCCATGGTGTATTTCTTCAGCAGTCAGCCGATTGAAGAAGGGTTTAAGTATGTCCTTGACGTATCAGCCAGAGTTCGCGATTTCGTGGAAAAATGATTTGCCGCGGACTTAGAGCACGCCATCCGCCACCTTTTCGCGATGTAATGATACTTGTATGACGTGAGGACTGTCATCGCCCTCATGTTCTTCCATTTTGTGCATTGACTCGGCCACTAACTTTAAACCATGCTTCATCGGTCATGAACAAAAGTTGTGGATCCACGATTCCACCATGCACATTTTTGCATCAGCCAATTACGAAAACGAATTCTTGCTGCAAGATCTGTTTGTTTCAACTCGTGTTTTATATGGGCGAAATTTAATTAATTTTGTGGCTGTGTAAATGGATCGCAGCGAAACAACGGTTTCCTGTCAAGCGTCTTGGCGACTTTCGAGGACTGATCTGAACAACCTGAACTTTTCTTCAGTTCCAATATTTCTCTTCGATTGCCTCTGTATCCCTGGCCGTCCACTTTTTCATGAGCTTAAATACCGATGACTTTATGGAAACTGGTGAGGTTGTATATTTATGACGAAACTTTCGGATACATTTTCTGTAATTTTTTTACCCATGTGTATGTTTCGATAATGAACACACGATGTTCAATGGTGAACTTTATTTCAGTAAAAATGTACACTCCCTTGCGCGCTTCTCAGAAAGACAATATAATGTTAATAAGATTTACTGCATTAGGAACATCGGATAACTAATGACAACTTGATTTCCTAAGCGCGCATGACTCATTCTGCAACCGGGATGTAGCATAACAATCAGGTAAAAAAGTTGGGTCTGCCCAGCGGTGTAACAAGGTTTCCTCTACCGTGTACATTACATTTCTCGCGACTTTCATTGCACAACTTTGGTTACGCGCGTGTGCCTTTGTGATTGTGCATAATGGACAATGAAGTGTAATATTTTTACTCAGTTGCAAAAATTGTTACGACTCCCCCCCTCTTCCTTACTTACACTTTTGAAAAATTCACGCTAAACCACTGCTATGCACGTTTATCCTTTTTGAAAAATGGAATCTATAAACATTAGCGTGAGTCCATTTGTATGTTTTTTCTCCTCGCAGGTAATTTCCTCCATTCTGACATGACAGCTGATGGTACTGTGTTACAGATGTGATGTGGCGGACAGAGATTCCGTTTTGGCGTTGGCTCTGAAGGTTAAAGAAGAAGTAGGCGATGTTACCATTTTGGTAAACAATGCTGGCATCATGCCCTGCCATCCATTGTTACAGCACAACCATCAGGAGATACGCAAGATATTTGACATCAATGTTCTTGCACATTTCTGGGTGAGTTTTTAGCAGTTCCCTTCCATTAACCATTCCCTTTGAAAAAAAAAATGAATTTTAATTAAAATCATGGTTCAAATCAAAGCTCCAGAAATTCTCGCTGATTTAAATTTAATTGATTTAAATTAAATTTAAATTTAATTTAAAGATTAGTTGTGAATGAATCTTTAGTTTCTGTCTAAATGAATTACACGTATTTATTACTTTGGATACGGTGTGGAAATAAAGTTACAGAATGTATTCGCCCTGCTCAAGTTCTCTTGTACTGAATAAAATAGCAGAGTCAGACAGAAGCCTCAGAGATTCCTCTTCTGCTGGAGTCAAACATTTTGTCATTTGCCTTGTCTGTGACCACTGGTGAGAAGTGTGCGTCATTATGATTGCCAGAAATAGACAGAAAAGAATTAACCACACTTGACAATTTAAGTCAAATAGTCGTCTACCAAATGAGTTGGTTGCATCAGTTAAAAGAAATTAAGAATTACGTCGCTATACTCTGAACAACAGATGAGGAAAGTTCATTCAGAACAGAATGGTGAGACTGATAGGTGAAGATGATGTTGAGTTATTAAATAAAGCATACTGGAAGATTGTGGATTTGCTGGTATATTTAAATTCTTTTTTAAACAGTCTGGTAAGTTGAGATATTTTTCGACAAAGTTGTAATTTTATTCGTTGGAACAAATGAAAATGAAAATCAACTGGTGCTGTATTCAGAAACCTAGTTTCCGAGCGGAAAACTCGGTACACGTGAGACGAGTCATATTGAGTGGTTTATTCCCAGTTGGTACTCTGCAAGGTTTCAAGTTCAGTCACTCATTTTGCTTTGTAGAGAAACAGCACTTATCTGGTTACAAGTATTCTTTCACTATTAGAACTATTACTGATGCCAACAAACTGGAACGTATCCAGCAGAAGTTTGCAGCCGTCTGCTACTATCATTTCCTCCCCCAAGTGCCTTACAGCTATTTAGAAGTTTGCAGCCCTTTGCTACTATCGTTTCCTCCCCCAAGTTCATTACAGCTACGCTGATGCGTTAGAGTTTTTAAAACTCCAGACCCTGCGTAAGAGAAGGCATTGCAGTGATGCACTGTTCCTTGCGCAGGTTTACCGCGGTTTTAAATGCTGTCCTTCCCTTCTGGAAGCTGTCGGTCTCCGCATCCCTGCTCGGAATCTGAGAGATTTTTCTATGTTCAGTTTTAGCCCTTTGATCAAAAATGTTGTCTGCAGGGACTTGGACATATTCGAGACGAAAATTGTCACACTTCTTCACATCCTATAATAGTATATTTTACTTAATTGATTTAAATTATTTTTACAAATATGCTAATATATTTAGTTGAAATCCTCTTGTGTATTAACGTCCTCCGTATTAATGTATTTTATATTCTGCTAGTTTTACCTTTTATATTTTTATCGTGTTCATGTGATCATCTCTGTAATTGGCTTTCTGGCGGTTGATACAGAGCACTAATAATAAAGAATTGAATTGAAGAATCATCATCATCTTCTCTATTATCGCCTTGCAGATGCTGGAGGCGTTCCTTCCGAGCATGATCCAAAACAACCGAGGCCATGTAGTCGCTCTCTCATCCATGGCTGGAGTGATGGGTCTCCGCAATTTGGTGCCTTACTGTGCATCAAAATATGCTGTGAGGGGCCTCATGGATGCGCTGAATGAAGAACTGCGGGAAGACGCCCGACAGATAGAAGTCAAGTTTACTTCTATCTTCCCCTTCATCGTTGATACAGGGCTGTGCAAAAAGCCATATACAAGGTACGAGCATAGACTTTTACTGGTGATGGTACCTGTTTCTTTAAAATAAACAGTTTACCAACGAGGAGGTGACCATAATCTGTGCTGAAATAGTGACATTTCTTGTTGATGACAACTTCAAGTCCAAAAATTATCACTTCAATATAATTACTTCTTCATGGCCTTTCATGTTACCAGCAATTATGTAAAACCCACACTTCAGCCTTGAGTACGCGTCCAAATTTTATAGTTTTCATTGTGTGAAGTTAAGGAATTATCAATAAAGTTGGCTCGTGAGTAATTTTTAAAGATTGTTGCTTTTTGGATGAAGTTTTGAAAATTGAATAAACCTTATTTGTGAGGAATTTTAAAAAAAAACTGTCACTTTCTGAACATTTCTCTGTATTTTTCTGTCACGGTGCGTCATAATGATTTTTTAAAGCTTCCTGCATATGAAATAAAACTAAGGTCACTTGCAGAAAATCTGCGATATGAAATAGATCCATTGTCCCCGGTGGCCCTGTTTCATGGCCTGTGAGATCGCTGGACCTGGACATTGTTCAATTTGTTTGCCCCACAATTTCTCAAAACCCCGAAGGGACTTTGTGGACTTAAAATATCATGTCCTGAAATCAGGATTCAGACCTGCAAATGTAATATTTGCATCAACACTTGCCTCCTTCCCTATTGACTTGTCGGCCAGAGAATATGGAAAGCCAAGAAAAGCACTTTTTTTCTATGGGACTTGGTCACAAGTCTTAGAAATGTATAATTAATATTAATTTATTTTTTTCTTTAAATTAGGCATAAATATTTGTAACTTTGCTTGAAGGTGTTATGAATAATTGTAATTAATGGAAGGTGGAGAAAAGTCACGTGGACAAATATGAGGAGATTGGAATAATGATGCATTACTTTTGATTTCAGAATTAGAAGATTATATGCACTTTTGTTTTTGTTGCACAGAATGTGGAATTTAAATGTATGCTCCAATTTTCTTGTTCCTACTGTTTTATTGGTTCTGTGTCTTATTATATCTCAAGTTCGCATATTAAATGGAGATTCATCACGGTTACAGCATGTGTGAAAAAATAGACTCTTCCAAGTTTGTTTTCAGGTTCCCTTTCCTGCTAAATTTCGTACCAGCCAAGAAGGCAGCAAAGGCAATCATCACCGCCCAGAGACGAAATTACAGCGAAGTGTCGATCCCGGGTATACTTCTGCATCTGAACAGTGTGTTGAGGTAAATCAATCTCTTGCAAGTGAATTAATTTATACAGGGATTCTGTTGGAATTTCAGACAATTATGGCCTAGCTGCCTTTTCAAGAATGAAATACCAATTTTTCTAGTGGATCAAACAGTCTGGATCAGTCTGAATGGGAGGGAAGTGAAGAAACTATGTCAGAGGCATCGACTTTTAATATATGCAACAAACAACGTGGCACAGTTTATCAGATTGTATCAAATTCACCAAGAAAGACCACCATTGCATGTCATCCGGAGTCAGTTCAGTCCACGTCACATCTTCATAACTGATTTCTCCCAAGAATTAAATGAAAATTTATCTTCCCATTTAGTCCTGTTTTTCTTATGTGGTCTTTTCCCATTAGAGTTTCCACCAAACATTTCGTGATTCTGTTTATTCCAGTTTTTTTGTTGTTGATGATGGTGTACTAGAATTTCAAACAGTAAATTCTAGCGATTACGAATAATAAAAGTTAATATTGTATGTTTCATGGCCAATTATGAGTAACTATGAAGTTTCACTTGTATGTACAGTACACGAGACCAATTTGCATTAGTCACTAGCTTGTGGGTAGAAGACAAACAAACAAACAAACCATGTACACCAAAGGAATTACTGATTCAGGAACTGAGACAGCGAGTTACAAAGTACTGCCATTGGAATATGATGCTCATGTATGTACAGTACCTGCTTCGCTACCACTCCCACCCCTCTGATCACCCGGCCGTTTACTTCTAAAGGACGTGAAACGCACAGATTCTCTGCGACTGCTGCCTGTGTGAGAATGCAGTCTGAAGTCGACATAAATCTAGCAGAATAATGAGGTTTGCATGTATATTATGAACAATAGAACTCAGAATACATGCAAATACATGTATAGAATATATAATAATGGCTTGTAAAACATACGTTGATATTTTGTCATAACTACAACCACCAGCACCGTTGCTTGTACTCTGCTTGTTTAAGGACATGTCTGATGTACCATCTTGGTGTAGAATTTTAAAAACAAACTTTTGTTTCTTTTTTTTTCAAATGTACAATGGCACAATCTTTGCACCAAAAGAATACTGACCCATAATATAAAATTTTCCACATTGCCACACCTAAAAACACAAAAAAACTTTATTTTATATATGAAGACTGGTCACCTGAAATTCAGATCACTTGTTTAGACTTGTCATTGATAAAATGAATGTTAAGTGAGCTAGACGAATGGAGGTCGAAGCCTCTTCTGCACTGCTCTATGCATTACGGTAATTGAGAGATAAGTAACGTATAGCAAACAAAACATCACTAAGTAACATGGTCCCTGAACCAGTTTCTTCCTGAAAGAGGAACCTACAAATTTAATACCATTTTACCAAGCACAAGTACCATTTCTTTAGCTGTCAGATTGAAAGGGAAACATTTTGAAACACAAAAAAAGGCATGGTTTGATTTAAATGGAAGTAGCATACCAAAAGCTGTGACTAGAAACATGAAATTTGGTCCAGCACATTAAAAAATATACTGATTTCTTGTCTAATCTATTATTTGATTTGAATCATGTATACCTTGTTGAGCGCAAATGGTATTGACATAACCTCAAAGTAAGCGCAAATGGTATTGACATAGCCTCAAAGTAAGCCATCATATTTCTTTAACTAGGCAATACAGCACCTCTCTGATTGGTTTGCCCACTGAAAGTGACGTTCCTTGCAGACTATTCCATAACATCCATCCTAGTACTATCCTCACCAGTTTATTTCTTGTCTTTCACATGTCCACATTGGAACAGGATTCCAGAGGAAAATATTGTAAGCATTATTTATTTTCCATTACTCACTATAGGGTTCAGTTAGTTTAAACTATCATTAATTCATATTTTAGCACAACCTTCATATGCCCCATTAAATAAAGTTGTGTAGAAGGATAAGTAATATCATTGATATGAAATTATTTATTTAATTTTCCAGACTTCTCCCCTTAAAAGCAGCACAACACCTGAAGGACTTCATAGACAGTGGTGTGGACTCTGACACAACCTGATGTTTTAATAATAACAAAGCATTGGAGCACAATTAAATATTATATAAAAGACAAAGGAAACAAAATTTACTAAGAAATTGTCGCCATTTATAAAGGGGAATTTCAGATTAGAAGGGAACAGTTTTGTAGGTATTTTGTCATAATAAGCATGTGATTTGTTGGAAACGTAATTTGTATTCTTGAAATGCCTTTAATGTTTCCTTTTAGAACATATATAATTGAAATGTTTTGAAATACTTGCATCTTAGTTTATAATGAGCATGTGAAGATGAATGACAATGCACTTTGGGAAGAGATATTGGTTAATAATTGCAATATACCATAAATATACAGATTTGATCTATTGCTTGTGCGTAATTAACTTTATAAAAGACTTTGCCCATATTTTTAATGGCGTTTTAAGTCGACTGTAGAAAGAATTCCTATAGATATTAATAAAATAAATAACTAACACTTTACAGTGTCAATTATGGATATGTTGATTATGAAGTAACATGCACCTAGTTATGAAATTAATTGAAGTAAAATAAAGTTTAATATTCTATTTTATAAAGTGAACTCTGTGCTTCTTGAAAATGTACTTTTATTATGATATGCTTTCTAATAGTATAGAGAATTTCAAGCATAATACACACATAAAACAGTACAACTTGTGTGAAATTGCATTGCAGTTTTACAGTCTTTGTGCTTTGAAGTACTGAAGTTATCTGTAAATATATGAAGGATTCCCAAAAATTTGTACACACAGCAGCAACTTTGGTGGCCACTTGTCAGTCAGTTGCTCACGACTTTCAATTGTGTGATGTAGCTAATGGTGGTCATTTTAAATACCTGCATTTGATTTGCTAATTCATCAAGTGTCAATGCTAATGTAAATAATGATTTAGTTTATTAAAATGTCTATACTTCATTCATTCAGTCAATATGTATGTATACACAATGTTTGAAATATTTTGTAGTTGATTTTAATGCAATGGTAGAGATAAGTAGAAAAAGGCAGACAAACTGTTACAGTTCAACGTAGGTAATCCTTTTGTGGCTACAAGTTTATCTCACTTGAGTTTGAGAACAACATGTAGTCGCGTATTTTTCTCAAAGAAAATCTTACCAAAATTTCTTAGTCAAAAGTTTAGTTCCACCTTACTCTGACAGCTAAGAACATTTTTTAATTCATGATTATTTACTCAGTAATAAATCTTATCTGCAAATTCTGTATCATTCCTAGCTAGCATTTTCTGTAAAATGATGATTCTGTTAAGAAATATGTCTGTTCATTTAAAATTGGCTGTTCCTCGTAAGAAATCATTACTAAGAATCTATACTGCTTTTAACATCACATGCAAATAATGCAAAAACAAAAGTATGTTCTGTGTAAGTTTTATCAAAATGTGGTGATGATTTTGAATCGTTCTTTGATACGTACACAATTTTATAGCTGCAAATAATTATATTATTCTTACCCAAAACAGAATGGAGCTTTGATTAGGGATGAAGTAATTTTCAAAAATAATTTGGTATGTATTAATCACCAAAAGAGTCATTGACATGTTCATCATTATTAAAAGTTGCTTTTTCTTACAGCCAGAGTTTGCAGTAATGACCAAAATCTGGTTCTGAAAGAAACTATTAAACGACACTGTCCAACTATGTGATCTCTATATTTCTTTCACATGCTAGTTCACATTTCAGTTCATATTATAGCTTGTATAAATTTTTATTTGAATCCCATCCTTAGTATTTAATTTTGAATTATGAGATACTCTTCTAAATAAAATATAATGTTTCAGTATAATGCAATTTAATTAACAGAAAATTGTAGGTGCACAAGGTGTTAGACACAAAATGAAGTGTGTAATTAAGTTCACATAAGCAGCAGTTAGTACAGAATGTTCATCACTAGAATAGGAACAACGCAACTCTTGTGTGTATCCATTTATATTGCAGGAGATAAGGATAAACAAGTTTGTTGGTTCTTATAATGATGATTACTTTATTACTGTTGACTCAACAGTAATAAAGAATCATACTAAGCAGTATGATGTTATTAACACAAGTGTTTTTTACACAGTAACCAGTTCTCTGCAGAATTACAATGCTAATTCGTTTGTAACTACCTTATACAATCACCTGAAATTTCATGACTAAACATTTTTTCAAGTAACATATAATATAATAGTATAAAATTGTATGTTTAAATAACTTTGACTGGTGAATGGAAAAGGATTTGGAAGGAAGTGACTGTGGTGTATTTTAAGGACATTGCCAGGAGGAAGTAATGGAAACCACAAAAATCTCAAATCAAGTTGGCATGTGTTTTGATCAATTATGGATTAAAAACCCTCTGAACATGAAAGAATAGTGAGTCTGTAATATTTTTTTAGGTTAAGGACACAGTTTCCCAATTTGGGTATTCAATGTGTGCCATTTTCTACCAGCAAATGTGTGTTTTGCAATTAACATCTGTAGTTTAACTTCAGGATTCAGTTATAGAAATCAGGAATGCAAACTGTTCATTTAAATGTGTTATTTTTCTTAATGCCCTGTTTCCCATTATATGTGCCTTCAGAATTACATAATTTTAAGCACTGACATGAAAATAAAAATATTTTATGCATAAATTGCTGAAAGTGTTTGTTAGTATTATGTTTGTATATTTCATTGTGACTTCAGTTTTATTTTATGTATTCATTATTTACCAAGAAACTAAAATGAAGACATTTATCTAGACTTTCTAAAATTTCTCTACACTTGGACTGAATGATCTTCAAAGTCAGAAAATTATAGTTAAATGAAAGTATGTACCCAACATAAATCTTTCAATTTCTATTAAATATGTGCTCAGTTTGTGTATATTTAATGATATTGACTCCAGGACAGGATCTGTTCTTGTCTTCAGGTGTCGTGAGCAGGGTGAAGGGCACCTCTGTCGGGTCCTTTAGAACGAGCTAACCTCAATCGCTGGACGAACTAGGTCAGAGCATTAGTGAAGCACCTGAGGTCAGGTTATGTCAGTGGGAGATAACGATAAGATTAACCCTCTTAGTCCCAAAGCCTATTTGCACTGTTCTGTTCTAAACACCCAGGCCAATTTTCACGTATTTACAGGTTAAAATGTAAAATTTCAACAAAGAAGAATTTCACACACATACACATGAATAAAATCAAACTCATACACTAAATACTTTAGATTAGAAAAAATCTCGTAAATTCTAACGTTATACCAAACTTACAAAAAAATTTCAAATATTGAAAAATAATATTAAAAAATGTCATTTTCAGGAGGTAAAACATATTTTTTTTCCCTTCTTCATTACTCATCCTGCAAGAATGAACATTTATTTCTGCATAATTTTATATGCGTTTGGTGTTTGGTCCTGAAATATAACACTTTTTGTAAGCCAATGTACACGTACCTTCAGTATCGGATATAGTGTCAGCAGTTGGGCCTGTTGTTTCTGGAGCAGTGTCATCACATTTAGTACTCCCAAACTCACTTTCCGGAATAATGTCACTATCACCATCTATAGTATCTAAATAATCCAAAATATCGGCGTCATCCATTCTTGAACTTGGACAAGTAATTGCCGAAGTGAGATCTTAAAAAAACAATCTATATACAATAAACTAAAGAAAACGAAAAAATATCACACGCACTATATAAACTTCAACTAAAAACACAATTACAATGCTAAACACTTATTTTAGCAAACAATACATCAAAAACCACAAACAATAATTGTAATACTCCACGCGGTCCACTTGTTAGCTCATTGAATTTAATTTGTTTATATAAAATATTTTTTGTTGGCCTACAGGAGCGATCAGTTGAGGAAAATATGAACTAAGGTATAAACTATCTGATGCAGCGTTGTGTTTCCATCTGGAAGCCTTGTATGTAATTAAAACAACAGATTTAGTAGGTAACGACGGATCGGCTGACTGTAGCTTAGCAACTACTGCTTCGGCCGACGGACCGGCCGGCTGATATTCAAAGGGTTAACAAAAATAATTATAAGGATTGTGGCTGCCTAGACTAAGGCAAACATGGAAAAGGAAACTGAAATACATTAAACCAAATCCAAACCACTCCATCCATGAGCGCGTAAGAGGGGTGTGAAATATTACCTCTTCTATCACATCTGTATACTGCTAGTGCCATCAGTGGCCTATGAATACAGTCCTGAAACAGCAATACAAGTATCTAGAAGAGCCACTTTAGTAAAAACTGACCATCCTTGAGAGTTGATAATTTGCTACCTAATTAATAATGTGGATCCAAACTAGATAAATTTCCAAAATAATCTGGCTGATGGGTTTTGTTAAACACGCCATATGGGCTGCTTCCTCGTATTTCGTATACATGCTCTTAATCTCAACTTCCAAAAATTTTTGCTTCTTCCCAATTTACCCTTTGACCCTCATGCCGGACCAGTTTTGATTTCTTGTAGAAGACCCTCCCTCAGATTGTATGTATGCTCATGGTGAAGCACGGCTAGTGGCCTGCCTGTTTCATGTTTCTCCCATCAAATTAGTTTCAACCATTCCTTAACTTTACTTTGTGGCTGTGCAGTTCAGAATTGGGGTGAAGATATTTCCAGTTGGAGAAAATTTCTATAATTTTTACTTCAAACATATGACCACATCAGTAGGACATGATTAATTTATTTATATTCTCATCTTGACAAATCTGAAGCAACCTTGGTGCAGATCTCCCACAATAAATGTCATTAGAATCTCAGAAATGGAACATGCAGACAAATCTCATTTGGGAAAATTCACTTAGAATGCCTAATGTCTCTAGAGAGGACAGATACAAATATAATTAATAAGTATTTGTGGACATCCCTACAAGACGTAGTTATCAAACCTGGCGGTAACAACTGATTACATTTGTTTATTTAATTACGCTCTCTGTAGCTGAAATATATAGCTTCAAATGGAAAGGTGATTAATTGGAAAAAGATATGGAACTAAGTGGTCGTAAGCGGCATAGATTCTAGCCCGGCTTTTGTCTGGAGGAGTTGAGGATAACCACGACAGATGGTCTCCAGGTCGAAATTTAAACCTGAGACCACCCGAATACGAAATAGGAGACCTAACCGATCAGCTACGACACCCAGTTGTCAAGTTTTAAAATAAGGTCTAATAAAGAAGCCATAATTTCTTATTCGGAAGGAACAAAACTTTAAACATTAAGATTACGTACCGGAAACTACCAAAGCGTTGTACGAAGAATATATTTGAATATCTTCACCGAACAACTAAGAAGTAGACAAACAGAAATATTTCCAAATAAAAGGCAGAATAAGGAAATAAGCCTCAAAGAGAGAAAGAAACGCTGTAGGAAGAATCTGAAGAAACAGCTGGACTTGATTTCATCAGAAGAGGACACCGACATAAACGATCAAAATATTCTTGACGAAAATGAAGAGGATGACATAGAAAGAGATTGTGAAATACGAGGCTCGTCCTTAAAGTAAGTTTCCCTGGGGCCGTTTACAGAAACAAAACACAATTTCATGGGAATATTTATTGCAACAGATACAGCAAGTGTCCAGCTATTTTTCAACATATTCGCCACCGGAATTGAGACATTTGTCATACCGTGGGACCAACTTTTGAATACCTGTGTCGTAGAAGTCTGCCGCCTGGGATGGGA